GGGGAGAGGTGGGGAGAGGTGGGGAGAGGTGGGGAGAGGTTGAGACAGGTTGAGACAGGTTTAGAGTGGTTGAGAGAGGTTGAGAGAGACTGAGAGAGACTGAGAGCGACAGAGTGATTGACAGAGATTGAGAGAGACTGATAGAGATTGAGAGTGATTGACAAAGATTGATAGAGATGGTGAGAGAGGTAGAGAAAGATGGGGAGAGGTTGAGAGAAGTTGAGAGAGATTGAGAGAGGTTGAGAGATATTGAGAGAGGTTGAGAGAGGTTGGGAGATGTTGAGAGAGGTTGAGAGGCGTTGAGAGAGATTTAGAGAGATTGACAGAGACTGAAAGTTATTGACAGAGATTGAGAGAGACTGAGAGTGATTGACAGAGATTGAGAGAGTGAGAGAGATTGAGAGAGGTAGTGAGAGATGGGGAGAGATGGGTAGAGATGGGGAGTGATGGGGAGAGATGGGGAGAGATTGGGAGAGAGTGAGAGAGGTTGAGAGAGATGGCGAGAGATGGGGAGAGATTGAGAGAGATGGGGAGAGATTGAGATTGTGAGAGACGGGGAGAGATTGGGAGAGATTGAGAGAGATTGAGGGAGATTGAGAGAGATTGGAAGAGATTGAGAGACAGAGGGATAGAGAGACGGAGAGATATAGAGAGACGGAGAGAGATAATGAGACAGAGAGATAGAGACCCAGAGAGGGATAGAGACAGAGAGATAGAGAGACAGAGGGGTTGAGAGACAGAGATATTAAGAGACAGAGAGATTGGGAGAGGCAAAGACATTGAGAGAGACAGAGAGAGCGATTGAGAGAACGAGAGAGAGAGAGAGGTAGAGACAGAGAGATTCCCAGGGGGAAATCAGTTTGTATCAAGGACCGCTTGCAACGATAATTGATTCTCTTTTGCAACTTAGTTCTCCTGCTTCGAGGGTCATCGCTTGCCCACCTTTGCTTCACTTTTTTGTTTTTCCTTTACCACTTTCTTTAGAGTTGATTCCTTAGTACCTGTCGCATCGCTGGTCATTTTTACAACGTTCGCGTTTATTACATTGAATGCGATTGTCATATGTCGATAGAATAAAAATTCAACACTCATTAGAATAAATATATATATATATATATATATATATATATATATATATATATATATATATATGTTTTGGAAGTTTGGGAGGTTTCTTTTACATACTAAAAAATACTAAATTATTGCCCTTCAAATATCTACGATGCTCGCTCGTAATTCAATGTTTCCCTCTAAGTATTTGATTGTCGATTAAATACTCCTGAGGTACACAATTATATAGTGTTTGGCCTTAGGTTTCCAAGTCGGTGTGCTTTAGCAAGCTCATTATATTTTATTTCCTATTTTATTACTATTGTTTTCAGTTATTTATGCGCTGTTTTAGGTATTTCTGGCAATGAGGAATGAGGCGTGCAAACTCAACGTGCGCTGACCTAGGGAAGTGGACATTGCAGCTGACTCTCTATGCGGTTCACTCTTTGAGACAGGAGAAGCATGTGCGTCTGTTTGGAGAAGCTTGCTGTAGAAGCATAAAAAGCTTAAATAAATAGGTTTTCAATGATCTTTTTACTGGCAAGTGATTGTTGGAAGTAGTTTTACCAACTCCCTGCAGTTCTCTTCATCCTGACAAGTGCAAGTTATAGCTAGATATTGCTCTCGTCAGTACTATCAGAACCAAGCACATTATTCTGAAGAGATTATAGTGTTGCTGAAACCCACTGCTGGCAGGCAAGTCGCAACCCATGCTATTAATCCCTTTTGTTTAATCATTAACCGTGATAAGCGTTGAAGATGCTGTGCGTACTTCGAACCACAAAATAAAATACAAATAAATCTAATAAGCATCAATCTAATAAGTTGCTTTTTTGATTTCCTATCGGCAGAATCGCTTGCGTTTGCCATGTAAGAATGATTTGATTATTGTCCAACGTTCAGCAAATAAATTTTGCATTTTTAAAAAAGAAAAATGGATAAAATTGGTAATACTATTTAATTATTTTATTTTTCTACTTAATGTATTATTTTGTTAAGTGTGAAATACAAGGGAATAATAGAAGAAAAACAAAAATGTTGTGAAGTAAAAAAAGTGCTTCTTAGAGTTTAGGTACATGGTAACTCATAGTTATATCAATTCAAAAATATTCTGCCATTTTTATATCTTTCTTTCGCAGGCACTACAATAATCGGTTATCACAAAAACAAATATGCCATTTAGAACTATTTAATTGCAAATTAATTACGCAAATATTTTTTTCTCTTCAAACTTTCTAGTAATGAATGGTGAACTGGTGAAATATTTAGCAGGCACACCACAATCGATTACCACAAAAATAAATAAGCCACAATTTACAATTATTTAATTACTAATTAATTACGCAAAAAATTTGTCTTCAAACTTCTCAGTAATTACTGGTGAGCTGACTGAATATTCAGCTGGCACCACCACAATCTGGTTCCACAACTGACTGATTTCTTTATTCCCTATTAAGCTGTATTGGACATATTTGTAGCGACATCAAACGGGATTGCAAGTTACTAGACTTGAAAAAACACTGTACTGCATTTGGAAGCCCATAAACTATTTTCCGTCTTTGTTTCGGCGCGTGCAACAGGGCCCGTATCATCGCGCATGCAAGCCTGGCGCGCACAGTTGAAGGCCCGCTCACTAATACTTTCTGAAAAGCCACCCTTTCCTTTTTTAGATTTCTTCTGCATTTCAAAGACTCAGTTAATGAGTTGTTGACATTTACAAATGCAAACATCATGCAACCAAAAATGTAAACAGCACGGTGCGCAGCAAATTTATAAAACTAACACTTTTCAAACCAATTGTTCTTCTTAGTTGTTGCTTCAATTTATATGAAATATTTATTACTTTTATGTTACAAACTTAAGTGTGTTGAATTGTCCGAATAATATTTCTGTCTACTTGACACCTGGAATGGGGTAAAGTGATGTTGCCACTTATTTAGGCGGCAGTTACGAGGACGTTCTCGCATCAAATAGCAACAGCTGCAGCAATTGCAAGAAAGAAATCGCAATAAGAGCACACAACAGTAGGCCACACAATCCCACTTATGATGTTTCACCAACGAAGTAATGACACTCTTCAACTTTCAGTTTCTTCTTCACTTTTTTTTTAAGTTTCGGCAACTCTGCGGTGACATCAGAATTTGAAGCATCTTCATGGATATCGGAACCTCCTCTCCCCTGTCAGCCGCTAGCTGTCAAGTCGCCAGAAATATTATTCTGACAATACACATATTGTGGTAAATACTGAACATAATAATTCTGAATTCTGCGTCTTTGTAGACTTCATCTTTGCGCTGGATATGACGCAAACTCGTCCTTGAGGCTTTACTAAACACTCTGGTGACAGTTCTCTGAACGAGTTTATTTGGTGCGAAAACGTAAACGAAAAAAAGGATCTCATAAAGGCTTCCCTTGTTGAAGGAATGTCACTTTTTACTTACGCACTTTGTTTGCGGGTGTGTACTAAATATTTAATGCTTATTTGTGAGTTTTCTTATACAATGTGAGTACCATTAGTTGACTGTTGAACTGATTACGTCATTTTGCAACAGAGAAGTTGTGGCTTCTGACACAGGTTATTGAATTGATGAAGGAGCCTCCTTGAGTGGCATGGGCGACATGGGCCAGCGGGCGCGACAACATGGGACACTTGCACGCACCGAAACAAAGAGGGAAAAAGTACTTTCTCATCCGTTTGATGACTACAAATACATCCAATGCAGCCTAATAGTGAATAAAGAAACCAGTCACAGCAGTGCGGATCAAACGTGGGTTGTTATTTGTAATGGCGCGCGACGCAATTTTTGCCGATTGCAGTGAAATAGTTATATAGTGCAAAGCAAATTTCTTAAAGTGGAAATTTCAAGTTTTAATCATTGAAATTAAAAGTATTTTGTATTAAAACTTACGGAATTATGGCCATTTGAAAAGTGGCTACTTCTATGGTTTTAACGTAAAATTGGTCATTTTCGGGCTAATTTGGCACACTGTTAAGAGTCAAATAACTAATGTTGGATCATAAAATTGTAGCGGGGTAACGTGGGCACCACCTCAGCCAAAAATTTGTTGATAGAAATAGCACTATTATTTATTCGTTATTTTCTAAAAAGTAGCGAAAAAATACCGAAAAATTGGGTGTTTATGGAGTTTGTGGCACCCTAAACCCATTGTTCTTGCATCGAAAACATTTTCACTAAGACTTTTATATATATATATATATATATATATATATATATATATATATATATATATATATATATATATATCACGAACCTGTCGTGTTATGAATTTTAATTAGAATGGTGGTGCTCCGGCTAGCTTTGGTTTTGCTGAGTATGTTTCGATATATGGAAGGATGTGCTTTGTTAAAAGTACGAAAAGTTGTTTCACGGAACCATATTTAATGTAACGAACTAAAAGTACATTAAACCCCTTCTATGCCTCTTTCTGAGCTCATTATTAAATTAGAATTATAAAAAATAGACTTATTACTAGGTTTGAACACCAAGAGGTTTGAATGACAAGTACCTCACTCTTATCAGAATACGTAGTGCCTCTTATGAAATTTCTAACAGAAGTGTTTCTTGGTCGCCTGACAAGAATCTCCTTACCTTTCCCATGCCCTCAAATCTCCAAGATCCGAATTTCTACAAAATTCTATACTCTCATTGATTAGAAGACATTGTGTCTTTGCACACTTGCGGGCCAACCACCGAATGATTTTGCTCTGCAAATTTCCATATCTCCATCTCGCTCTATCAGAATGTTTATAATGGGCTGAATACGCAGTTGAGCGTTTAGGTACCTACGTTCCTATTTACTTCGTCACATTTTCTATCTGGCACACATAGGGTGGTTTTTCATTCACGCAGGTTCACGTTCGGGAGCGAGGTGTGTTGGAAACGGCCTTAGGACCCGCGCCGGATGCTGGTGTAAATAAACAACGGGGGTGGTCGCGGGCGGCCCTTCGCGACTCCTTTGGATGGACACCGGAAATCCTTAAGGGGAGGGCAGCGGCGGTGGCTCCGCTGCGCCGCCGTCCAAGTGTCCACACAAAAGAATCCCGTGACGCAACGCACCATTTCCTCATTGTTCTATAGAGCTGGTCCTTAAAAATAACTATAAAATTAAAAATTTGGCCGTGCGCCGCCTCAATATATAT